GACAGGCACGCAAACCTTAATGATAGCATGGGGTGAGTATCATGATAGTAACTAACCAGGTGTTGAGATGACACCAACTTAGAGTGAACTCAGGTGTGTCAGAGAAGAACTGTGTTCTGTACAGAGTTGTCAATGGCTGTTTCTTTAGAAGTAGATCACCAGACCTTTCTTGGGAGGCACCTCTGGGTAGACTTGAAGTCCCACCCCTTCTCACGGAAACATTTGTTTATGGCGAAGCATGTTGACCATTTGCAACCACCAGGGGGATCTCTCTATTTTTCTTTATAATCCTGCAGAATAGGTATTATTATCATGTGTTTTAACCCAGGGAAACTGAGGCTCAACGAGGGTTAGTAACTTGCTCAAGGACACACAGCTAGCAACTAGAGGAGACAGGATTTGAACTAGAATTTGTCTGACTCCAATGCTGGTGATATGTTCAGCTATGCTGGGCTGCTTTCCCTAGAGAGTCTTACAAAAGGATGTGCCTGTTATTGGTAGGATGACAATGTTCCAACAACCCATCAACCCCAGAAACACCAAATTATCTTTGCTCCCTTGCTGGTGCAGTAGCTAAACAGGGATTTTTGCATCTGGCCATTCTCTGCCATCACGATCTCTTCCACTAGCCAACATGCGACGTGGGTCATGGAGTTCTCAGAGTTCTTGGATCATGGCTGGGCAGTGAGTGGCAGCCTAAAGTTGGGCTAGGAACTGGGGCAGGAAGGAGTGTGGTGTCTCTACAGCCTGGAAGTGGAGGAGGAATTTGGGAAGGTCAGTGGTGAGGCAAAGAGCCCCGGGAACAGCCCTGGTAGATGGGATGAGGGGTCGGGGCCTTGGCTGGACTGGCTGAGCAGTGGATCATGGGCTGGCTGGCTCTCGGTTTCTGTATTCTGTCCAAGAAGGATTGTTGAGCCAGGACAGCTCACAGCTACATTCCTCATGGTTGGCCATTCAAAACCACCAACACCTCCACGGGCCTGCTACTCCTGGCAACAGTCAAAGTCTTGGAAACTCACCGGGGGTCACTATGAGTCAGCACTGACTCGATGGCAGTGAGTTTGGTTTGGGGTTTGGCCAATTTCAGCTGGCATCAGGTTGATTCTGACTCATGGTGTGACTTGCCCCATAGGGTTTTCAATGGCCGGTTGTTTGGAAGTAAGAAGCTAAACTCTTCTTCTGAGGCACCTCTGGGTGGACTCAGCTCTCCACCTTTTGGCTAGCAGCTGACTGTGGTGCTGTGAGTGCCACCCAGTCATTGGTGGCCTCAGAAAGGGCCCTAAAAAGGGCTCACAGGAGGTAAAGTGGGGCTAACTAAAAGGAGGAGGCTGTTCCGGAGTGGGTGAAAGGCGAGGAAAGGAAATTTCTGTTTTATACACTTACAATGTATATTGGGTACCAATCTCAAGCCCTCTTCAAGTCTGCCCTGGGGGTGCCGCTGTGGGCATGGCAGACTGCTAGCCTCCGGATCCGAGTTCAAATGGATAGGCTGTGCAGTAGGGAGCATGTGGCTCTCCGCTCCCATAAAACGTTGCAGCACCCTCAGGGAGGGCTTCTCTGAGTCCAATCGACTTGATGGCAGGGGGTTGTTTTGGGGAAATTCAAGAAGCCCTGGTTTGGGGGTGGTTTAAATGTTGGACGGCTAACCCCAAGGGCGGAGGTTCCAACCCACCAGCCCCTCTGAGGGAGAAACGATCTCAGAAACCCTAGGAGCAGTTCCATGCTATCCTTTAAGGCAGTTGTGAAAAAATAAATTGACTTGAAGACAGTGAGGTGGGTTGTTTTTATTTTTTGTCCAACTTAGGACGTGATAAGCCATGATTTCTTTTAGTTATCGCGTGCCCTTGACTCAGTTCCAAGTGTTAGCAACGCGGGAGGCTGGGACGCCCCGCAGGGTGCCCTAGGCGCTCATCTTGCCAGAACCAGATCTCCTGCGCTTTTCTCCCTCGGAACTGCTGGTGGATTGGAAGTGGCAACCTGCCAGTTGGTAGGTTGGTGCTGTGGCAGCACTCCTCCCAGGCTCCTTTCTGTTTGAGTTGCGTGGTTGTTGCGGGAGGTATGGTAGAGTCAGCGCCATCGCGCAGTGGCCCGGTCCTGTGCCCTGCCCGTCATCGCGTTTTTGGAGAGAAGTTTACTTTGGGTCTTTTATGTCTAAGGATTTCCACACCTGCAGACAGAATCGTTTATTCATCTATGTCCCATAGTAATGCCTGAGTAGGTAACATGCATCGTACGTTTTCCTTAAAGATTAGGCTGCTGTTGGTCTGTGATATTCCATTTTTGGTCAGACAGGATTCAGTGAAGCCAGCAATTCCTGAGTTTTCCAACCTGAAAGAAAAGATGTTCCGTTCTTTCATTTCCTTACAGTGTAACATGGTGGAATAAATAAGTCCTTGCAAAGATAGCCTAGTGAGTAAATCTAGTTTGCAGTATCTGGAAACTAGAACAGTCTGGGGTTATCGTTAAACTGAACACCCTGCTAACTTCATCTTAATAATTCATGCATTGTTTCATAAACAAAAGCAAACAGGCATTCATCTGAGAGATCACTTTTAGGAGAAGAAATAATAATTTATAATTTTATTTATTATTTCTTTAGTGACGAGTAGTCTCTTGGCTGAACATCACGTTGCTTTTTTATTTATGAAATGGCGCATGCATTATTAAAATAAACCCGCGACTGTGTTCTGCTTAATGATATGCAAAATTATTGGAGGCTGGGTACCGAGTGGTTTCATTTCTCTACCTGTTCTATGGTTGGCTGGCTTCCCCACCAACTGCAGATTTATGAGAGCATTTAAGAAGCACGTATTTAATTCTGGAACCAGAAAGCCCCCGGCAGCTTGGGGAAATAAAAGCAAGATTTCTAGTAACAGCCTCACCTCTGAGCAGTCCTTGAGTCAGGAGGGCAGAGGGGAAGGCATTTAACAAGGAAAGCAGTGGGTCTTCCCTTAGCAGGCAGAGGCAGGCAGAGCCTAGAGTGCTGGTTCCCCTTGACCTGCCTACTCCCCCCCTTCCCCCCCTGCAACCCAGACCATTCTTTGGAGCTTTGCTTTCACTCTGGCACACCTCCTGAGCTTTCCATGGCTCCTGGGTTCCCTCCCAGCATTGAAAGCCAGGTCCAGCGCTACAGAGTCTGCCCTCTCAGCCCCTCCCCTGCTCTGCTCTGAGCAGCAGGAAGAGAGAGAGGGACCTCAAGTGCACTTGAGTTTGAATTTTCTTTGTTCACCAATAAACCATCTCATCCATTTTTCCAAGGGTCTTCGTTAAGAGCCCCCAAAATGTGTGTTCAGCTCCACACATAGTTACTATAAAAATATGGGAGGATTGCTAGTTGATTGTTTTGGAGCTCATAACTGGTTTGTGTTGGCAGGCACTGCCGAAGGAGAGCTGTGTGAAGGGCCATTGGCCCAGGCTGTCATTTCCCCCTACTGTTATGGGGAATGTAGATTCAATGGGCCCATGACACTGGGACCCATTTGACTGTCCCCATACGTCGTGACCATGACAGCGCTGGAATGGGGACAATGCAATGGTTGCCTGCTGTGCTATGACACACCTGGTCGTGGGTTTTATACATCAGGAGCGACCTCACTTCCCATATCCACCTCACTCACCTGTAATGGGCGGTGCACTGGACACAGAATGAGCACCATTACTCTTAAAATGATTTCTATGGCTTCTGGCCGCAGTCCTGATATTAAGGCCCATCTTTCAGGATCTTTAGATGTCTATGTTTCAAATTTAAGTTTCTTAGTGCTGCTGTAATAGCATTACCACAAAAAGGTGGCTTTAAAGAACAGAAAGACATTTTCTTACTACTTCCATGGCTAAACATTTGAATTCTGGGCAAAGGCTTGGGAGGGAAGTGTCGCTGTCTGTTGGCTGTCAGGAAAGAAGGTCGTGGTCTTTGTTTCAGCTTCTTGAGCCCTGTGTTCCTTGGCTGCTTGCCTTGTGGAAGACCTGCACGGGCCCCTTGTTGTCCCCAGCATGTGCTCTGGTCTCCGTACATGATCTGCCTTTTCTATAACTCAGAAATGATTAGCGTTAGGATACCCTGCCCAGATGGATCTGGTCTCATTAACACAATAAAGAAAGCCCAGAGCCCATACAAGATTATACCCACAGGGGCTAGGATTCCAGCATGTGTTTTGGGGCTACACAATTGACTCCATCAATACTCATTTCTGCAAAACTCTTGGAGCAGACTTGGTGCCTGGGGTGGGTCTGTACCTGCCCTCCCAGAGAAGGGTTCAGGGGGACGGGCATGGACATAGCTCAGAATTATCTTCACCTTCCTGACAATTTTCCCTGGTGCTGGCCTGGTTAGGTAGAAGATTCTAGCTGTATAGGAATAGGGTAGGGCTCTGGGATGGTCTGACTTTTTTTGATGTTTCTGTGAGGAAAATGAAGTTAGATAACATTTGCAAAGTGCTTTCAGATCAGACAAAATATTCGTGACACCCCCCGCCCCCAACCAGACCTCCTCCCCTCACTCTGGGCTCTCAAGTCTTGGAAACATGGGTGTCTCATCACCCTCATTTCCCATCTCGGAAACCCACCCTGGACCAGCAGCTATTCGCCCGGGAACACCCACAGCACATTCACACAGAAATGAGGAGATCTTGGCTCTTTTCCATCAGAGCATATCACTGAACCTTGACAGGGAAAATATTTATGGATTCATAGTGGGTTATGTGTTGGGCTGCTAACCAAAAGGTCAGCAGTTTGAAATCACTAGCCAGTATGGAGGAAGAAAGACGAGGCTTTCTCCGTCTTGGAAACCCACAGGGACAGCACTCCCCGGTCCCACAAGGTCATCATCAACTGGAGGGCAGTTAGAGTGCCTGCTTTGAGGAGGCCCTGGGTGATGCATGTGGTGAATACACTTAGTTCATGGTTAAACAGTTGGCAGTTCGAGTTCACCCAGAAATGCCTCTGATGAAAGGCCTGGTGGTATGTTACAAAAACAAAAACACACCAGCCCTTGAAAACTGCAGGGCACAGTGTCCTACTGTGGCACACCCGAGGTCGCCATGAGTCGGAATGGATTCAACATCACCTGGCTCCTGCAGGTGCCGGAAGGTTTGTATCTTGCCATTTCCTTTCTCTGAGAATGCCTTTCGCTCTTCTCTTTCATCCAGGGAGCTGTGCTCATGGCAGAGTGGCGAACATCAGCAGGCCAGCAGTGGTGCAGCTTAACTGGAGAGGGTTTCCCTATAAGTCTGGGGTCTGGGGCCAGGACTACTCTCCTCGGCATCCAGGGAAAGGGCTGTACTGGGTGGCACCTCTGAATTCCGAGGGGAGGTATATGGAATACTACAGACTCTACAACACCTGGGATGATTTGCTCTTGTATACACATTCCCGGGAGAGCCGAGTCACATATGGCCAGGGCGCCGGCGCTGTTGTCTACAACAGCAACATGTATTTCAACTTACACAACACCCGGAACATTGTCAAACTGAACTTGACCACCAATAAGATGGATGTGACGTACACGCTCCCTGATGCCGCCTTTAACAACCGCTTTTCGTACGCGAACATCGAGTGGCAAGACATTGACTTCACTGTGGACGAGAAGGGCTTGTGGGTGATCTATTCCACTGAAGCCAGCACCGGCAACATCGTGATTAGTCAACTCAATGACTCCACACTGGAGGTGCTGCGCACCTGGCAGACCAAGCAGTTCAAGCTCTCTGTTTCAAACGCCTTCGTGGTTTGCGGGGTTCTGTATGCCACTCGTACTCTGAACACCAGAATGGAAGAGATTTTCTACTACTTTGACACAAACACGAGTGTGGAGGGCCAGTTGAGCATCCCCATGTATAAGATGCAGGAAAAAGTGCAGAGCATTAACTATCACCCTATGGAGCAGAAGCTTTATGTCTATAATGATGGTTACCTCCTGAATTATGACCTGTTCTTCCTTCAGAAACCCCAGTAAATGGAGGGGAGAGAAATAAACTATCTGTGGCCAAATGAATTTCTCTGCTTATTGACTTAGCTGCAAAGAGATACAGATGCATGCTCATTGAGTCAACAGGAGCCTGGGTCCACCACACTGCAGCTCCAGGAGACCTGCCCGGATTTGACGAGTTCTCTTGGAAGCCTTCGGCCTCCTGGGATACATCTTCCAACAGAAATCCCACTTCGGGTTGGGGTTGTCAGAGATGGGGGCACGATGGGTCAAAGGAACCTTCTAGTGCAGGGAGATCTGGAAATCGAAGGTTTTAGAGAGAACTCAGCGTGGCTTCTGGGGATTCTTGGTACAGGAGGGACAGCGTTAAGCTGTCCAATTCTCCTTCAGGTAGCCCAGCAAAGTCTTCCCTGGCTACGAAGAGCTCATGATTGAAACTCGCACCAAGGCCATTATTGGGAAGTCAACGCTGACTCCCAGGAGTCCTAGAGGTCAGAGTTGAACTGCCTCATAAACTAAGGTGACCGGACGTCCCACTTTTGGCAGGGCAGTCCCAATTTTTGCCGTTTTAAAAAAGGCCCGCTTTTTGGAAAGAATGCACGACAAGCTAGGTAACGGCCTATTTGGTCCATATAGACCAAATTTTTAATCAAGAACCCCCTACCCACCCCCGGTCAATGGTGTCCCACTTTAAATCTGGTCACCTTATCGTAAACTCAAATCACTGCTTTATGGGTAATTTTGACTCATATCAATCTGATAGAAGGTTTCCAAGGCTGTCAAACTTTATGGAATTAGACAGATTCCATTTTCTCACGTAGAGCAGCTAGTAGGATTGAGCCATTGACCTAGCAGTCAGCAATCCCATGATTACTTGACCAGGTCACCAGGACTCCATTATTGTTGTTAGATACCTTCGAGTGAGTTGCGACCCTATGCGTAACAGAAGGAAACACTGCCTGGTCATTTGCCCTCCCCACAATTGTTTCTAAACCTAAGCACCTTGTAGCCACTGTGTGAATCCATCTCATGGAGGGCCTTCCTCCTTTCAGTGACAGCTTTGCCAAGCACGAGTTCTTCCTCCAGGAACTGGCCTCTCCTGACAACCTGTCTGCAGTATGTCAGATGAAATCTCGCAATCCCAGACTCTAAGGAGCACTCTGGTCGCACGTCCTCCAAGACAGATTAGTTTGTTCTTTTAGCAGTCCCTGGTAATTTAGATATTCTTGTAGCAATTGTGGCATTCCAACTTTTTAAAGTATAGCTTTGTTTTTATCCTTCATTTAAGCTTGGCACTTAGAAGGTGTGTTAGTCTGGGTACTTTAGAGAAACAAATCCGCAGAAACTCATGTATAAGAGAGAGTTTTATATAAAGGTTAAGTGCACATCAAGAAAACATCCCAACCCAGTGCTGCCCAAGCCCACAAGTCCAACATTAACCCATATGTCCAACACCAATCCACAAAGTCGTCCTCCATCTCACAAAACAGACCCAATGATGCTGACTGCAGGAGGAAAGCCGAGTCAATGAGCGTGTAAGCATCTCAGTGCTGGCAGGGGTCTCCACACAGCTGCCCCAGCACCCAGGCTGCATCGGGCTTGGTCCATGCGGCTTTTCCTTAGGGATGTCTTGTAGAAAGTGAGCCTTGCCAGCTGAAGCAGGGAACTGGCTAAGGCAGCTGCACCCTGGTCGGACCATCACAAAGCAAGAGACTTGAGAATAAGAAAGGCAAGGCTCACGGAGCCATTTATCTCTCCTCCCTTCAATTAACCCCACGTGTTTTTTGGCCAGGTTGGCACAATAAACTAACAATCTCAGAAGGTATGGAGATTCCCCCTTGTTCTTTGCAAGGGTGAGATGTGGAAGAGTCTGGAATGTCGCTCTCAAACCCTCACGTCAAGGATGTTGTTGTTGGTTGTGCCTCTGAGCTCAACCTGTGCACAACCCAGCCAGTACCGCCTGGCTCTGCGCCAGCTTCCCAGCCCTTATGGTGGAGCCTGCTGTCGCAGCCACGCTGTCAGTCCATCTTGTAGAGGTACTTTCTCTTTTGGGTTGCCTCTACTTTGCCAAGCAAAGAGGTCCTTTCCCAGAGACTAGTCTCTCCTGAAAATATGTCCAAAGTACATCTATCGCATGGGCTCCTTACTATAGTCATTTAATACATGACTAAAATGTGCATTGAATTAACTCTGGTCTTATACCTTTTTTCTCTGCATCCTCTTCTTCCTCTTCTTTCCTCCTTCTTTCTTCTCCTCTCCCCCTTTCCCTCTGCCTCCATTAAAAAGAAAACCACCCCCTACCCGGTTGGCCCACCCCCTTGCTGTGCAACGTGGGGAATGAACAAACCGTCTGCAGCCCTGGGGCCCTGGCACTCGCAGAAGCAGACCACACCAATGGCTGGAGTCTAATGTCAGGGCTGCACTTTAATTTTCATTTGCCTTTAAAATTTACCTGTTCCTTCTGGCAGTTTTGTTGTATGAAACTACCCTTTTTTCTTCTGGGATATAGCCTCGTGCTTATTAATTTGCATGACTGATTTGATGATTTTCAATGTTAGACTATATTTATGTGGCGTATGCTCCTTTTCCAATTGAGCTATTAACATGGGTTAGAAGCCTGGGATGGTCCCCAAACAAGAGGACTAGGACCAGAAACAGAAGGACTGACTGGTTTTAGCGGGGAGACAGTTCACTTTATGCAGTGTGTAGGGTGTTATGTGGAGATTGTAGTTGACCCACAGATTAGAAGGACAGATAGACTAATGTAGCTAGTCTTCCATAAAGGCTGTTTTTGTCAAGCTTTTGAGGAACTTGGTAGCTATAATGTTGGTATTTTCAGCATAATTCACCTTCCCCATGATGTGAACAGAGACAGGTATGGTTTTCACAGTACAACAAGATAGGAAGATAAAGACATGCATGTCATGTGTGATACAGGTTAAAAACAGTGATGTATATTTGATCTGGCTGGAGGCAATTTTCCCAGATGAACATCTCTACCAAGAACACAATATGACCTCTGAAAATTCTGGAAGGGAGGCAGGAAGCCAAGGTAACCCCAGCAATCAGCCTCTTATTGGAACGGCTACAGAAGCTTTCTGCCTGTGGATCCACATCAGAGCCTCCTTCCCACTGGACCTGGTGCAGCGGCTGCCTGCAGGAAATCTCCCCGCAGGGAAGGTTAGTGACCAAGGGATATGAGTATGCGGCTTTACTGCAATGCAGCTGTGCAATAGAAATCTCAGCTCAAGAGTCATTAACTCCCCTTTGAAAATGTCTGTCTACACACACACACACACACACACACACACAAACACACACACAAACACACACACATCCTTTATTGATATGTAATTTACATATGGTAAAATTTGCCAAGTTTGAGCTTACCATTCAATGACTTTGACACATGTATACAGTCATGTGCAAGCCCACTACAATGAAGCATAAAGAACATTTCTACTCTCTTCCCAAACTTCCCCGTGGGTCACTTTGTTGACAATCCTTACTCCCACCCTTCTGCCCCTGGAATCCACTCATTTGTTATTCTATCCCTAGAGTCTTGCTTTTCCCAAAATGCCATCGAAATGGAATCATACCATGTGTGGACATTAGCGTCTGACTCCTCAGTTTTCTCCTTGAAAAAGAGAATTGGTAGTTTCTGTCTGCCCCAGAGGGCAACAGGGCGGTGATAGTAGCTCTTAGATTCTGGGAATTATTATTTTATTTTAATTAAAATACTTTAAATAGATTTTATGTTTAGAGTAGTTTTAGGATTACCAAATGAAAAATTACACAGAAAGTACAGTTTCCATAGGTCTCTTTCAACCTCACCCTCACTCATAGTATCTCTGTTATTAACATCTTGCATTCTTAATGTCTATTTTGCATGTGGGAATAATGTATCAACCAATATGGATACATTATTATCAACTCAAGTTCATAGTTTGCAAGAATAGATTTGATCCATTTAACACTAATGACGAAAGAACGGATGAGTTGTGGAATGATATCACTCAGGCAAAAAGCAAGCCATCATTAAAAAGATAGAAAAGGAAGAAAAGACCAAAAGGACCCTCTGAAACTTGCTCTCGAATGTAGAACAACTAAAAGGATGCAAGGAAATAGAATAAAAAGGGCTGAGGAGGAAAATCCCAAAACGTGGCTCAAGAGGCAAAGTAAAGAATTATAACAAAATATGCAAAAACATGATGTTAGAAAACAAAAAGGGAGAACATGCTCCCAGTTGTCCAGCTGAAAGAGCTATAAGAAAAATTCATTCAGCTTCAAGTTGCAATATTGAAGGATTCAATATTGAAGGATTCCATGGGCAAAATATCGAATGACACAAGCATCAAGGCAAGATGGAAGGAATACACAGAGCTATTGCACCAAAAGGTATTGGTCAATGTCAACTATTTACAGAGCTAGCATATGAGCTAGAACAAATGGTAGGAATGTATTCCAAGGAAGACATCCAAGCGGCACTGAAGGCATTGACCAAAACATGGTTCCCAAAATTGACAGAAGACGAATTGAGATATTTCAACAAATAGAAATAATGCTGGAAGTGCTCACTCGTCTGTGCCAAGAAATTTGGAAGACAGCCACCTGGCCAACTGATTGGAAGATATAATCCAGTCTGAAGAACCAGGAAGATTCACTGACAAGCCAGTGATAAGCAGATGAAACGCCTCGATTGCTGGAAGTGAAGAGGATTTGAAGCACTTACTGATGAAGATCAAAGATGACAGTCTTCAGTGGACCTCAACATTATATATTTATATATAATTATATAGTTATAGTAAGAATAAGCAACATAATAATAATAAGCAGGGAACAGATAGAAGTTGTCAAGGATTTCATGTTACTGAGATCCACAGGTAATGCCCATGGAAGTAAGAGTCAAAACGTCAAATGAAGCATCACATTGGCCAAATCTCCCCCAAAGACCACGCTGAAGTGTGCAGAAGCAAAGATGATGTTTCAAGGGTTAAAGCTCACCTGACCCAAGTCATGGCATTTCA